AGCAGACCCAGAGCCCTGGATGGGCCCAGGCAGCATCAAGACTAACTGCCAGCATCAAGACTAACTGGCTGCTCGCTCTACCACACACTGGCTAAGGGGGCTTTGCACTGAGGAAAGCCTATGTTTTAAAATAATGGATTTGTGGGTCTAGGCATGAGGTTTAGAGGTAAAGCCCAGCTTTCTTGAGGACCTGGGTTCTATTTCCAGTACTGTAACAAATAAATGCTTACTGATTGTTTGATAGAACTATAAAAAAAAAGGAATTTCAAGACCCTGAAATAAAGAGAAAGCCCCACCGTCAATGCTCTGGAAGGTACTATCTAATTTACAATTTCTATGGCAACCCTGCATGAACCAGAATATGCAATTATTAATAAGACAAACTCTAGCCATTCCACATGTGCAGTGATGGGGAAGTCCTTCTCAGTAATTACTAAGCAGAGATTCCCAGCGGAGGCAGCCCGTCAAATGCTTCCTGAAGGGCAACTCAGCCCATGTGCTCCTGATAAACTACAAACAAAAATCTTTCCTAAGACACATCTGACTCTTTTTAAGTACACATGCCCACAGAACACATTCCAAACTGAATGGCAAGCATCTGGACAAGTCCCACTTAGGTTTCCTAATGATAAACTACAAACTACTAAGCCTGAATGTTAGTTAACGTGTCAGTAACAACTGCATATGGTTAATTACCACTTGTACATAGCTAAAGATGATCACCTGTAGGTTGGTGATCACTGCAGCACACTTCATCCCGTTAAGAATGGACATATCTGCCAGGTGGTAGGTAGTGGCACATGCCTTTAATCCCGGCACTCAGGAGGCAGAGGCAGGTGGATCTACAGAGCAACACACACTGGATGCCCAGCAGTGACATGCTCCAATAACCAGGACAACCAAGTTTCAGAACCACAAACTGCCCAAGACATACTTTATTTCTTCTTTTTAGATTTATTTTCTTGTATGTGTGTGAGTATTTTGCCTGCATGTACATCTGTGCACCATGTGTGTAGCTGGCACCTGCAGACTTCAGAAGATTCCCTGGACCTGAAGTCATAGATGGGTTGTGGGCTGCCATGCGGGTACTGGAAACTGAGCCCAGGTCATCTGGAAGAGCAGCAGGTGCTCCTAACCACTGAGCCAACCCTCCAGCCCAAGTCACTCTTTCTTTTTACAAATTAAAAGTATCACTGGTGAATTCTACAAACTATCCCCAGGCCATACTCTAGGACAAGGTCAGACAAGGTGGGTACCATTTGTCTCATGTATTCCTGCTCCAAGCTCAGGCAGCAGCAGCCCCAAGGTGACCAAGAGATCATGGAAAACTAGAAACTGAGCCCAGGTCTTAGCCAGAGAGTCACCTGTCTTCTAAGGACACGTTTGAAGGAGCAAGTTCAAAAAGAATTAAATTAAATTCCACAGGTTGCATGTCTTTCTTTTTTTTTGTTTTGTTTTTTCAAGACAGGGTTTCTCTGTGTAGTTGTGGTGCCTGTCCTGGATCTCGCTCTGCAGACCAGGCTGGCCTTGAACTCACAGGGATCCACCTGGCTCTGCCTCCCGAGTGCTGGGATTAAAAGCGTGCGCCACCACCGCCTGGCCAGACTATGTTTTTTTGCTGTTGTGGTTCTGTTTCGTTTTGTTTTGTTTTCTTAATTATTCCTGGGTGGTGGTGGCACATGCCTTTAATCCCAGGGCTTGGGAGGTACAGACAGGCAGATCTGAGTTTGAGGCCAGCCTGGTCTACAGAGTGAGTTCCAGGAGAGCCAAGGCTACACAGAGAAATCCAGTCTCAAAACAACAACAAAAAGTACTGTATGTATTTAGAGAGTGTGTGTGTGTGTGTGTGCAAGCATAGACATCTTCAAGAGCATGTATACAGAAGTCAGAGTATAATTTGCATGAGTTTTCTTCTTCCATTATGAGAGTCCCAAGGATAAAACTTAAGTCATCATCAGGCTTGGCAGCTAGCGTCTTTACCTAGTGACCCATATTGCTGGCTCTAGAACACTACCTTAACTGAAGCTCAGCAGGTGACATTATTTATCTAGTTTGGCCCTGGAGCTACATTAACAGCAACAATATATCTACTAAAAACCCTTCTTTGAGGGGTTGGAGAGATGGCTCAGCAGTTAAGAGCATATACTGCTCTTCCAGAGGACCCGGGGTTCAATTCCCAGCACCCACATGGCAGCTCACAACTGTCTGTAACTCCAGTTCCAGGGGACAGGACATCCATGGCAAAACACCAATGCACAGAAAATGAAAATAAATACATTAAAAAAAAGATTTAAAAAAAAAAAGAGCATGAACTGCTCTTGCAGAGGAGCTAAGTTGAGCTTTCAGAATTCACACTGAGTAATTCACAACCATCTCCAGGAGATCCTCTGGACTTTGTGGGCACCTGAACTCTCATGTGCACAAGACAGACAGACAGACAGACACAGACACAGACACAGACATACACACTCTACCTCTGAGCAGGAAGCAGCTATCCCCACCTCCCTAAACTGCCCAAAAGATGAAGGTAGTGGTGCATGCCTTTAATTTCAGCACTCAGGAGGCAGAGGCAGGTAGGATCTCTGTGAGTTCAAGGTCAGCCTGGTCTATAGAATGAAGGACAGCCAGGGGCTTCACAGAGAAGCCTTGTATCAAAAAAAAAAAAAGAAAGAAAAAGAAAAGAGATGGGACTGGAGAGATGGCTCAGTAGTTAAAAGCACCTGCTGCTCTTCTAGAGGACCCGAGTTCAATCCCCAGCACAGTCACAACTCTGTAACTCCAGTTCCAGGGGACCCGACACCCTCACACATACTTGCAGGCAAAACACCAATGCACCACATAAAATAAAAAAGAAAAGAAAAAGAAAGGAAGGGTACAATGTCAAGTGTGACAGTATCTGTAATTCCAGCCTTAGGAATGAGGCAGGAGGATCAGAGTTGAAAAATCAGCCTATACTACGTAGAAAATTCCTATTAAAGGAATAAATAAATAAGAAGGTCAGTATGGTGGCACACGCCTTTGATCCTAGCACTCAAGAGGCAGAGGCAAGCAATTACTGGAAGTTCCAGGCCAGTCAGGTCTACACAGTAAGTTCCAGGCCATTTGGAAGTACATAGTGAGTCTCTGAGGGAAGTTAGAGATATGGATCAGTGGAAGAGGGTTGGCCCTTGGCTTCTCTCCCTAGTATCATACATATGAAAACAGCCATACTTACCCACATCCAACAAAAACAAAAAGAACCTCCAGCACCACATTCTCTATACTATGACAATAACTTCACTGGGTGCCAGATCCTCCAGTGTCAAGAGACCAGGCCTTCAAGACAGAGACTGACCTCACAGGCAGGAAGCAGCTACCAACAGCCCCAAACTGCCCAAAGGATCAAGGTAACATCTCTCAATACTATGTACCACCTCCCCCTGAACACAGAGTCTGACTTGGACTTTCTGTCTCCGTATTTCAAAATGAGACAACTGGGGCTGGAGAGATGGCTCAGTCAGTAAAATACTTGCCTTGCAACTATAAAGAACTGATTTAAAAAAAAAAAAAGAAAAGAAAAAGAACTGATTTTGATCCCCAGAACTCTAAAAAAGAAAAAAAAATGGGTACAGTGGCACACGGTTGCAATCCCAGTGACTGATAGGGAGGCAAAGACAGGCAGTCCCTGGCGCTTGCCAGCAGACCATCAAGCCTAACCTACTCGACCAGCTCCAGGCCAATAGAGACTCTTTTTCAAAACAAAGTGAGGAACACAACACATGAGGCTGACCTATGGACTCCCATCTATGTATGCACAAGAGTATGAGCACCTACAGACACTCTGCACTTGCATACATAAGCACACACACACATACACACAAAGACATCTGTTCATAATTCCATTAGGAAACGTGTAAAATATAAACGAATCCAAACAAAACCCTGACTTACTAAAATATGAAAGTGTTACATAAATGACAATGTGCTAATAAAACAATTTTCCAGCTGGGCGGTGTCGGCACACGCCTTTAATACCAGCACTCAGGAGGCAGAGCCAGGTGGATCTCTGTGAGTTCGAGGCCAGCCTGGTCTACAGAGCGAGACCCAGGACAGGTACCAAAACTACACAGAGAAACCCTGTCTCGAAAAAAAAAAAAATCCTACTTTTTTTTTTTTTTTTTTTTTAAATAATGAGCTGGGAGGGTAGCTCAGTGGTGGAGTCCTTGCGTAATATATGCAAGGCCACGGGTGTCATTTTATATCCAATACATTATTAATAATAATAAAAAGCGAAATCATCTCATGAATCCTCAGATTAACAGTTCCGCTCCCCTTCTTTAAAATACACAGGGAAGTGCTGGCTTCAGCAGCACACACACTAAAACTGGAACGGTACAGCGAAGGTTGGCATGGCCCCTGCGCAAAGATATCACGCAAATTCATGAAACGTTCCGTATTTTTTGCGGTCGGGATGTAAAACAAAACAAAAAAATACGCAGGAGGAGCAAAGAAACACTCCATGCTTATATGTACGCAAGTGCTTGGCTGAAAAGCAACTGACCACACGAAACCGCTTTAAATCAGGTAGCTGCCAAACACCGGCCAATTTTAAAGTACAGCACGGAGCAGGATAAGGGTGGAAAGTAAATCAAAATCCGTTTATATTACCTAAGACCTTCCCCTACAACACACCTAATCTTTCAGGGAACTAGCCTAAAAATGGGGAACCCCTCACACGGACACTCTGCTGAAAACCTGAATAAAAATGAAGTTCCCCTCCACAGGTAGCAGATGTTAAAACGAACCAAGGAGCCAGCCTAGTGGCATACACCTTTAATTCCAGCACTTGGGGAGCTGAGGCAGGTGGATCTCTGAGTTCAAGGCCAGCTTGGTCTACAGAGTTTTCCAGGACAGCCAGGGCTACATAGAGATCCTGTCTCAAAACAAAAACCAGGAACCTCAAGGACCTGTTGACCTGTCCTGGGGAGAGGCCAACAGCCACCCAATGGAGCCTCACTTACTCGTCGCCGTCGGGACACAGGCCGGTGGCCTCATCATACTTGGAGCAGTACACGTCCGGGCTGTAGTTGAAGGTGCCATCCCGCCGTCGGAGCGGTCTGCGCCGACGCTGATTTAGGAAATGCCAATGGAAACAGGTGAACGGCCTGTGCTGGCTGCACTTATGCTGCAAAAACAGGGAGCACTGCTCTGTCCTAAACTCCTTTAGATACCTAAAAAGACAAACAGCGTTGCGGGCCGCAGCCGCCGCCGGCTGCAGGCCCCTGGGACGCGGCGGGGCAGGGTCCCAGACCCAAAGCCCCCCAAGTCCATCTGACTTCCACCGCCTGGTACCCTCCCCTTTCCGCGGACACAGTCCCTGGACCCCAGGCGCCACTCCCCAACTCAGACACCAGGTAACTCCAAGTAGACTCTCCGCCTCCTGACCCCAAATACCATTTCCCAGTCCGCAGATAAGGTTCCCCAACTCGAGGCGCACACCGCCTCCCAGCGTGCCACCCCCAAGTCCGATCCCAGATAACTCTACACAACTAGACTCCATTCTCCGCCCCCTTCAGCACAGTCCCTGACCCCAGGCGCCACCTCTCAATCTCCCGACCCGGTCTCCCGACTCCCGCGCAACTCCCTTCTCGGGTTCCAGATGGACTGCAAGCTCCACCCGCCCACACCAAGCGCAACCCCTCTTCTGCGCCGCAGAAACGACCCCCAACTCACAGCCCAGGCGTCCATCCGACCCTAGGTGCGACTCCGCCTCCCACCCAGAGGCCACCCCAGACCCCGGGCGCCGCCTCTCAAGCTCAGGCGGCGACTGCCCGGGTTCGGATGGTCGCGCGTCCATCTCCAGCCCAGGCGCGGCCCTGAGCCCCAAACGCAGGCGCTGTTTCCAGACTCCAGCTTGGCGCCTAGTGTCGCGGGAGACCAGAAGCAAGCCCAACCCCCAGGCCAGGGGTCACCGAAGACCCTGGGCACCACCTCTCCACCTTAGGCGGCGGCCCGCGCCCGGACGGCGTGACCCGCAAGGGCTGGCGGCGGGGGCGCGGGCGGGGCGCACCCTCATCGGCGACACCCGGGCCCGGGGCGCGCACGAGCCGCTCCCCTGCGCCGTGGCGTCCCGGAGGCCACGGGCCGGAGCCCAGGCACTGACCTGTAGTGGGTTGGTTTTTCGGTCTGCGGGGGGGACCCGCTCAGCGACGCCGCCGCCGCTTTCGAAACCGACGGCATTTTCAGTCAAAACAATGCAGCGCGCATGCGCCGCGCCGGCGCCCCCGGATCTCCCCCCGCACCGAGCCCCCTGCGCCCCCCGCCGCGCCGGCCACACCCCCGGGCACGCCGCGCCGGCCACGCCCCCGCCGACCCCTCGCCCACGCGCGCTGTGCGGCGGGGGCGGCACGCAGAACCTGCGGGCCCCCTACGGCAGCAAGTTATAGGCGCAAAGCAGGACACGCCCGTCGGTGTAGAGTCCCCTCGCTGGCCTCTGAGTCCAGGGCCGTGGACCGGTGTTGGGACGCGAGGGCTGACCGTGGGCACAAGCTTCTTTTAGCTAGAAAAGGTCTATAATTAGACTGTGGCGATGGTCACCACTTTATTAAAAAATTGTGACTTTAAGGATGGACCGAGTGTGAATTCTCTGTTGAGCTGCTTTTTAAAAAAAAACGTTGTGTAAAAGGTTGGCAGATGGGTGCATAGGATAAAGATGTACAGGGTGGTCAGGAATGGGTGAGCTGGGATCCACAGGGTGCTGGGCGCACGTTGGGGGCGGGGCTCAGCAGGTGCTAGGATGAATTCGCAAGGGAGAAGCCAGGGCTAGCATTCATTAGTATGTAACTGTGTGGCAGGAGACATCGTAAATGCAAAGAAAAGTGACCACAACTCCTCAGCTGACAGCATGGTTCTCTGAGGGATAGTTTGAGCAGCAAGCTCTAAGACCACAGGTACTCTGAAAGGAAAGGCTGGAGAGCAATTTATCCTCCTGCTTACAGAAAATAATCTGTCCCATTTCTAGGAACACCCATATGAAATATGAACAAAAATAATATGGCCCAAGTATGTAAGCTACATTTTAAAATACGAAGAAGGTAAGATTATCACTTGCCAGTAGGATGACTTACTTCTTCCTGGGACATTTTGTAGACAATTTGTTTGAAACTGTTGGTAGTTCGGTTTGGTTTTGGTGCTAGAGGCAGAACTCAAAGCCTCGTGAATGTTAGCCAAGCACTCTATCATTGAGTATTATCCCTAGCCCACAAACCCTGAAATTAACTTCTTTTAAAAAGGAAGGTGATGTGGTTGCACAAGTATGTAATCCTCACACTCAAGAGCTGGAGATAGTGAGTTCTAGGCCAGCCCCGGCTGTAAGAGACCCTGTCTCAAAAAAACAAACAAAAAAAACCCAGGTACATTGTCACTTCAAAATAGATCAAACAGAAGAACAAAGCAGGAAAGGACAGACAGGATCTACAGAGAAATAAACACATCTCAAAGACTGCTGAGGAGTGGGAAATGAAAATTCCATCACCTGTGGCACCCACATAAGAACTACAAGTCTCTCTCTCTCTTTTTTTTTTTTTTTTTGGTTTTTCGAGACAGGGTTTCTCTGTGTAGCTTTGTGCCTGTCCTGGAGCTCACTCTGTAGACCAGGCTGGCCTCGAACTCACAGAGATTCACCTGCCTCTGCCTCCCAAGTGCTGGTATTAAAGACATGTGCCACCACCGCCCGGCCAAGTCTCCTTTTTATTGAAGCTGTTATTCAAGGGCTGGAACTTAAGTAGCTGGTGGGGCTGGAGAGATGGCTCAGTCGTTAAAAGTACTGACTCCTCTTCCAGAGGACCCAAGGTCAATTCTCAGGACCCACATGTTGGCTCACAGCCATTCATAACTCCAGTTCCAGGGGATCTGACACCCTCTTCTGACCTGCATGGGCACCAGGCAAGCATGTGGTGTACATACATGCATATATCATACACATAAAATAAATCTAATTTTTTTGCCAGGCGGTGGTGGCACATACCTTTAATACCAGCATTCGCCAGGTGAGGTACGGATTCTGGAATTAAACTCTGTACCTCACCTGGCGTGAGGCAGAGGCAGGCGAATCTCTGTGAGTTCGAGGCCAGCCTGGTCTACAGAGCAAAATCCAGGACAGGCACCAAAACTACACAGAGAAACCCTGTCTCCAAAAAACAAAAAACAAAGAAAAAAAAATCTAATTTTTTAAGTAGCTGTTAGGTTAACTCCTTTTCCCTTGAAAGAACATGTTTTATTTAATAATTTCCTTCTGCCCCACAGCTTATCTATCTCTCATACATGCAGCAACCACTGGTGCTGGCTGATATTTGCGGGTCCTCTCCCTACATGAGGTTTACTGGGCACTTACCAGGCTGAGCACCTTAGGAAAAACACAAGCTACAGCCACAGAACGAGTTCCAGGACAGACAGGGTTACAGAGAAACCCTGTCTTAAAATTAAAAAACAAACAAACAAACAAAAGCAAAAAACACCAAACAGATGTGTAGTAAGTGTGCCCACTGTCCCAAACACCCAAAGTTCTCCTTTTGCTCATGCGTTCAACTACCCACATCACTGGGGAGAAGTGATCTGCCTGGGAGCACCGTGGACCTGCTGCATGGAATGTGACTTTTTTTTTTTAAAGTATTTATTATATATGGGTGTGGGTGTGTGTGTGTGTGTGTGTGTGTGTGTGTGTGTGCTCTATCTGCACCTTTACACCAGAAGAGGGCATTAGATCCTACTATAGATGGTTGTGAGCCACCATGTAGGTGCTGGGAATTGAATTCAGGACCTCTGGAAGAGCAGTCAGTACTCTTAACCACTGAGCCATCTCTCCAGCCCCTGGCATTTCCCCCCCTCCCCGCAAACCAATTCTATGTGAGCTGGGAATAGAGCTCAGTGCTAGGTTGGCATGCTAGATTCCTGGGTTCAACCCCCAACACTGTTAAAAAAAAGACAGAAACAAAAACCCACTGGGTCATTGAAAAGTAAGTTTGTTTTTTGAGACAGGGTCTCCCTATGGAGCCCAGGCAGACCTCATATTTAGGACCCTCCTGCCTCAGTCTTCTAAGTGATGAGATTACAGGCATTCACTACTGGCAAGCACTTACTTTTTGTTTTGCTTTGTTTTAAATTCTCAAGTGGGAGAGAAGAGCAAAAAAACAGAAAAGGTTAGCTGCTGGCCTAGAAAATTGCTCCTTTTAAAAACAAGATGCCATAGGTCCTGCTGTCCACCTTTAATCCCATCAGTGGAGAGCTGGAGGCAGAGGCAGGCAGACAGATCTCCGTCTGAGGTGAGGCTGGTCTACACAGCCAGTTCCAGGCCAGTCAGACCTATATAGGGAAGACTCTGTCTCAAGAAAAACAAAACAAACGAACAACAACGACCACTACAACAACCAAAAACCACTTGATGCAAGGGGAGGGGAGAATTGTGTTCATTAGACTTCACAAATGTATTTTGCATCTGTTAGTATTTAAAGTAGCTTCAACTGATGTTGTACACACCATGGCACAATACAAAGTGCAAACCTTCTGCAGTTATTCTGTCTCAGAAAGCAAATGAACTGCAGGGAACATCCCCACCAGAACTGCTCTGGAAACATGATTGGGCTGTACAAACACATCACAAATTCAACAGCACACGGTGCAGCCAAAACCTTCTCTATGAACCTCAAAAGTCCTTTGGACGTAATCACTGGGCACTGGTGTCCTGGCAAGGATCAGATTTCGAGCCTCCAATTCCGTGCTGTGTTCTCGCGTCTCAGCGCCAAAAGTCCTTTTAAAGCATCGAAGACGCATACAGAATCAGGTCAGAAATCGCCAAACTCGACAACGAAACAGAAGGACGGCTGCCTGTTTTATTCCTCAGCAGGAACCCTGTTACGTTCTAGCTCCGTAAAAAAACTGGAGCTTCAGCCTCCTCCAGACGACCGTCCGGCTCCTCCTCGTCCTCCTCGTCCTCCTCTCCCAACACCTGTCTCAACCACTGGTCCGTGCTAGTCTCCTGCCTTAGATAGCACCAGAAGATCAGAATCGTGAGGGTGAGGGTGATCGGCAGCACTTTCCACAAGGGCCGCTGCTGCTCCTTCCCCAGGGAATGCTCCACCGTCCAGCGGGTTGGGGTGGCTTTGCTGGAGGAAAACTGGATGGGGAGGTTGGGGTCGTCTTTCTCCTCTTCGCTGTCTGTAGGCTGGGCTGGAGACCCGCCATGGGGGCGGCGGGTGCAGGCTTCGCGAAGCCCAGCCCAGCAGCCGCCGAGCCCGGACCGCTCTGGAAGAGAGTCAGCAGTCAGCGTCCCGCCGCCACGGCCGCCTCCCGCCCTAGCCCACCTGCACCTCACAGCGCTCACCCCGCACCCCGGGAACACAGAACACCGCTCATAGCGACCTCGGCTCGCACTCTGCGGCGCACTGCGCTTTCGTGGCTTCCGGCGCACAAACCCGGAAGTCGGGGTTCACATCCACTATCTCTCACGACTACAGAACGTGTGTCCAGCCGCGCGGCGGAAATGACGCGCTTCCTCCCTCGAGCTCTTCCGTCTCGGGTTCCGCCTCGGTGGCCTGATGGTTTTCGTGTATGTCTATTCCTCAGTCTCTCCGTGGAGACTTGAGCCTGCCGGGCGGCTCCGAGAAGAGCTTGCCTGGCTTTCTTTGCCTGGCTGGGGGGCTGTTCGGGCTGATGCCCGAGACGCGCACAGACTTGAGAACCTTTGCTGTCGTCTTTCCAGGACCATCGTCCCGGAGGGACTTGGTGTCTTTTCTTCCGAAGCGCGTCTTCCATTCTTAGCGCTCTATCCAGGATCTCAGCCTCTTGCTTGGCCAGTGTCTCAGCTGCCAGCTACGTCCACTTCAGTTATGCCCTCAGACCCGAAGGTGGGAAGCCTTCGCATCGTAGACGCCGCATGGCCAGGTCCCCAGAATTCCTTTGCCCTCAGGGAGAATGGAAATGGCTCTGTAGGGGATGTCCAGACCCTGGATAATTTACCAGCCTACAGGGAGGCGATTCTGGAATTAAACTCCGTACCTCACCTGGCGTTTTGAGCTGGGAGCTGATTGAGGCTCAGTGCATCTTCAGAATCAGCCCTAGCCAGGCAAGCCTGTAATCCCCACACCGGAGGCAGAGACAAGAGGATCGCTGGTTCCAGGCCAGCTTGGACTATATAGCTAGAACACCAACCCGATATAGAATACAAAATCCAAAAAACAGGATCAGCCCTAACAGTATCTTCTGTGTACCTATGCTACATAGAAACTGCCATGAGTTATATCACACCTGGGCGTGGTAACGCGCCCACTAATGACAGTCACTCTGGATTTGTTCTTGATCTATAAACCAGTCACAAAAAAAAAAAAAAAAATATGAACACCTCCCTCTCTGTCTCATGGGTCAGACAACTGTGAGTCCCAGAAACCTAGGATCCTTTTCCGGGCAAGCAGAGTCCCCATGCTTCTATTTTGCTCAGGGGATAGTGTCTGAAGGCACCAGAGCATGGGAAGGGAGAAGTTAGGCAGGAAGATGACCTTTCAGCCCGTGACTGGTAGTGAGGTAGACATTCCTGCTGGGGGAAGCTCAGTCTTAACACAGCGAGACAACCCCTCACAGTGCAGCAACGTGGCTCCTGAAGACATAAGTTCACCTCCAAACACTCAGCGCCGATGACCTGTCTTCCCTTGAAACTTCTCTGCTGGAGAGCTGAACTTAAACTTCTCCCCACCCAGGGAAATAGAGACCTGAAGTAAGTTAGATCCAGAATCTCGCAGGGAAATGTGTACCTGTTCCAATTGCAAGCTTACTGGGCAACCTGTAAATTCACTTGCTTTGTTCCCTCCAAGTGCGGAAGGCTGGGGACCTTGGGACTTGGTTTTTGCCTGGCTTTCTTTCCCCTTTGCTCACGGTCTCCCTCCTGGGGCAGACACTCAGTCTGTCATCGTGAAGGTGACCTTAGCTTTTGGCTACTTACTGTTTTGTGGGCATAAGAGGGTCCTGGGAGCTGTAATCTACCCCAGGATGAAACAGAATCAGCAGCCTCCTTGTGACCTGGAGTATGCTGTGCTCCTGTGCCCACTTAATAGTGGCAAAAGCCTCACACTCACGTTCTTGCCCCAGGCACTCACCGTGTTAGAGCAGGGGGAATGCTAGAGATGTTGGAGCCCAGCAACACCTGTGAGTCCTCCCCATGCTGAGAGGCCCAACCCAGGACCCTGGCTAAGAGCTGCTGTGTCAACAGAGGCACCTGTCTGCCCAGCTCCTCCTCCCTGCGCCCTGCCCCACCTGTTCCATCACAGAACCCCACGCTACTACACCAGTCTCTTGGCAAGGACCTAGCAGCACCTAGGGCCTTAACTATAGGTAATGTGCAAGCTGGGGGGTGGGGTGGGCTGGGCTGGCTTCCTGAAGGAGGTAGAGCTCATGAGGCCCTAAGGTGTGAAGGGAGCCAGGCTCCTGGACAGGACTCTAGGGAAACCAGACACAAGCTGCCCAGGACAGGCCATGGGACCAAACGAGGAGGTGAAGCAAGAGTTAGTTTCACCCTGGGGTGGGCCAGCCCCTGACAATGACCAGTGAGCCCATCTCAGTCTCAAAGACTGTCTCAGATCAGAGACAGAAATAGACAAAATAGGACTTGGGGGGGGGCAGCACATCTGTAAAGTGCCCACCATGAAAGCGTGAGGACCCGAGTTTGAGCCTCACCAGCCACATGAAAGTTCTTTATAAGCCGGGTGGTGGTGGCGAACACCTTTAGTCCAGACTATCAGGAATACATCCTCCTTTGGTTGTTGGTTTTCAAGACGGGGCTTCTCTGTGTAGCCCTGGCTGTCCTAGAACTAGCTCTGTAGACCAAGCTGGCCTCAAACTCACAGAAATCCTCCTGCCTCTGCCTCTCAAGTGCTAGGATTAAAGGCCTGTGCCCCCACTGCCTGGCCTATATCCTCTTTTTTAATTTAAAAAATGTTAAGCCAGAAAGGGTGACACACACCTTTAACTCCAGCACTCATGAGGCAGAGGCAGGTGGATTACTGAATTTGAGGCCAGCCTGGTCTACAGAGCTAGTTCCAGGACAGCCAGGGCTACACAAAGAACCCCGCCTTTGGAAAAAAATGTCTATTTTATGTGTATATGTTTTGCAATGAATATATGTATGTGCACTGTGTGTGTGCTTGGTGCCCATGGAGGCCAGAAGAGGGTGCTGGATCCCCTGAAACCGTAGTTAGGGATGATTGTGAGCCACCATGTGGTTGCTGAGAACAGAACCCAGGTCCTCTGCAAGAGCAGCCAGTGCTCTGAACTGCTGTGCCATCTCTACAGCCCCACATGTCCCTTGTTCTAAGTCACCAAGTTTATGGCACTCAGTCACAGAACCCCAGCAACTGATATAGACACTACCTTAGCATCACTCTGCTCCTGAAGGCATCTGGTCCAGGGCAGTGCCCTGTGTCCTTGGACCCCATTCCTTAGCCATTTGCTTCCGGACCAACCATCCTCCAACAAACATTTTTGGAGGAATCACTCTTTCTAGCAGGTTTTGCTACAGGAGCCTGGCCAGGAAGCTGGAGAAGCAGCAGCCCTGTAGTAGAAGCTCCAAGATGTGATATGCCACCATACTGTATATGGAGCCTTTGCCTTGCCCCTCAGGGACATAAACCAACACCTCAGCCCTCATTATTGCAAAGCACACAGAGAAATTTCATAGGAAGCCTAATGTCTCTCTAATGGGGAGGCAGAGGCGGCAGCCGTCACTGTGCTTAATGGCAGGGTAATTTATTGTAGCTCCACTTAAGAGCTGACATATTGGAGCTATTGATTTTCCCAGGAAAATAGATACCAGGTGCCTGGGGGCAGGCAGGTCTGTGTCTCTGTAAGAGCAGAGTCCTGCTCTCCCAGGGTCTGAGGCCTGACAGTGGGTAGGGGCTGGCGGGGCAGGGGACAGCGGGCAAAGAGACTTGCTGGGCCCAACCCAAACCACTGCCCAGTTAGGAGCAGATGCTAGGACATATGCTTCAGCCCCAGCCTCCTCCAGGGTCTTGAAATGGCAGGTGACAAAGCCAGGGTGACAGGGGCTCGGATGGGCCTTACCCACCCACTAACTGCCAGCTAGACATACGAGGCAACCGTTCTAGGAAAGTGTGTGTCTCCACTGACTCAGAGTCCTCCAACCAAGCCTTACCAGACAAAAACTGGAGTTCAGTCTCTACCTGCAGGACACCTAGTCTGCCGTGAACATGGCTGAAAACGCGTCGGGGGTGAAAAGTGGCGGGCTGACTCCCTAACCACACTCTTCAAGTCTCCGGGTCTCCCCTCCACCGGCACTCTCAGTCTGCCCCTGTGAGATCCCCATTCCTTTTGCCTGGACTCCTACAGCAGCACTCTGGCTTACCCCCTCAGGCCTCCCGGCCCCATGCCGGCCCCATAGGCCCCTCTTAGGCTTCTCTTCCCAGACAGCTATCTGCTCTGGTTTCTCCCCATTTTAGAATCTTCCATCCTAGCTTGTGGCTTTCCCCACAGTGTCTTGCCACGCAGTGAAGAGCGTCAGAATTACTCCAGGATAAGGACAAGATCCTGTCAGTGGACAGCCTTCTCTCAGCCAGCACCAGTGAGCATCTCTGCACCTGGTCAGGTCAGGACTTAAAGGTGTCAAAGTCCTCCACCCATGGTCACATGCCTGGGTCAGACAAGAGGGGGTGGGGTATGGTAAAAACCCAAGCCCTGGGGAGGAGGCAGCCCTGGGGAGTGACCTCCCATGCCCTCCTTCTGCAGGAGAGGGTCTCTCCACACATAGGAAACAGCTGAGGCTCTGGTGTTCTTTGGTTTCCTTGCATGTGTGCTTGTATGTATGATATGTATGTGCATGTGTCATGGGGTGTGCATGTATGTGGAAGGGCACTTGTGAATGTGTGTATACATGTATGTGGAGGCCAGAGGACAACTTTCGGTGTGGTTTCTCAGGTGCTGTTTACTTTTTTATTTATTTTTAATTTTTTATTTTTCGAGACAGAGTCTCTTTAGGTAACTCTGGCTTGTCCTGGAACTCACTATGTAGACCAGGCTGGCCATGAACTCACAAAGATCTGCCTGGCTTTGCCTCCCAAGTGCTGGAATTAAAGTCTTGTGCCACCACACTCAGCCTTACCTTTTTATTTTCTGACAGTCCCATGCTGGTTTGAAACTCAAGAAGGCGAGGTTAGCTGGATCCCAGGGTCCTCCTGTCTCTGCCTCCCCAGGGCTAAGATTACAATCATGGACCACCACAGCCATTGTTTGGCTCTGGAGTTCTCTCTCTCTTCTTTTTTTTCTTTTTCGAGACAGGGTTTCTCTGTGTAGCTTTGCACCTTTCCTGGAACTCGCTTTGGAGACCAGGCTGGCCTCTCACTCACAGAGATCCGCCTGGCTCTGCCTCCCGAGTGCTGGGATTAAAGGTGTGCGCCACCACCGCCCGGCCTTCTTTTTCCTTTTTTGGTTTTTTTTGAAACAGGGTTTCTCTGTGTAGTCCTGGCTGTCCTGGAACTCACTCTTTAGAGCAGGCTGGTCTTGAACTCAGAGAGATCAACCTGTCTCTGCCTCGCAAGTGCTGGGATTAAAAGTGTGTGCCACCCGGTTTCTCAGAAAATTGGGTATTGATCTACCTCAAGACCCAGCCATACCACTCTTGGGCATATACCCAAGGAATGCTCAATCATACCACAAAGATACATGCTCAACTATGTTTATAGCAGCACTATTTGTAATAGCCAGAACCTGGAAACAACCTAGATGCCCATCAACTGAAGAATGGATTAAGAAAATGTGGTACATAATCACAATGGAGTACTACTCAGCAGAGAAAAACAATGACAGCATGAAATTTGCAGGCAAATGGATGGAACTAGAAAATATCATCCTGAGTGAGGTAACCCAAACCCAGAAGGACAAACATGGTATGTACTCACTCATAAGTGGATTCTAGATATAAAGCAAAGAACAATCAGACTGTAACCCCTAGAACCAGGGAGGCTACATAGCAGTGGGGACCCTAGGATGACTGTGGCTTATAATAAGTTTTGGTCTTACACAATTACTGGGCAAGCCTCAATAAACATTTCACTATTAGGATAAGAATTTATACTGTATCAAGCTGATAATAGAAAAAAAAAAGTGTGCGCTACCACCACTCTGCACCTCTGGACTTCTTGACCTCACCTGAGCATGATCTCAACTAGGACATGGTAGAGGGGATCCCCATGCTGGGAGCCACAGGGTCCTACAAATCCACCCAGCCCCATCTGCAGCCATGACTCTTATATGGTTTTCCTGTTGTGCCAATGTTTATGATGTCAGCTGTGTGGCCTAGGTGGGTTTCCCAAGAAGGGTTTGGGGTCCAGGAGAGTTTCACTGGCCTGACATTAAGGCATAGATGACATTCCAGAGACTGCAAGGAAAACTGGATTCCTTATGTTTCCCAGCTTCTGAAAGTCCCCAAACCCCTTGGCTCATGGCCTTTTCCTTTATCTTCAGAGCCAGCAGTGAAGCATCTTCTAGCCTCAGACTCGCTGGCCTCCCATCTCTGTATGGTGACCACTCTGTGAGGACCTTGGGGATTTTAGCTCCTTGGCGGTGGCTGGGTCTTTTTAGACGCTTTCCTCTGTTGGGATGTTCTGCCTGCCTCAGCTTGTCCATCTACATCCCCTGCCTCACACCCAGCTCTTCCAAAACCCATTCTTTGGTCACACAGGTGGGCCCTTCTCCAGGGCAGAATTGTGTCTCATGTCCTCCCCCTTGAAGCACCCAGCCCAAGGTCCAGAAAGCCCAAGACTCGACCATGTGAGTGGTGGCAGTCGGCACCTACAGCCTCAATATGTCTTCCCTGTCTCCAGGGCTGGTCGGGGTGGAGTGCAGGCCACAGCCCACCTGCCCTTCTGGGTACTCTACCCAACCTCCCGAGGCCCTGGATACCTCTTCCCTGCCTGTCCAGCAAGTGCTCAGCTGTAGACCCCAGGCCCACCTGTCCGTGTTACATCATCCACGTGTTTCCATCCCTTTCCTGGGCCAGCGTGTCCTTCTCACAACCAGCAGTAGAGGGTGATGTGGCTTCAGCTCGGAGCAACTGCACACACACACACACACACACACACACACACACACACACACACATACCCATGCCTGGTCCTCCTGCAGGTTTGGGCTCCGGTGGGTGAGCTGCCTGAGGTTGAAGCAGGGTCACCCACAGCCAAGAGTGGCGAGTGTTTTTAGACCCTGGAGCCTGACATGGTCAGAAGCAAATGGAATCCAGAGCAGAATGGACACTCAGAACTGGGCTTAGCCAGGCACACTTCATTCCACGGCAGAAGTCAGCCCTGCTCCAGGTTGCCCTTCTCCAGGCATACAACCTATGATGTGAGCAGCTTTCCAGACATCTATGCCAGGGTGTCAGCCTTGCCTACAGGTTGTTTTGTCACAGGGTCTCATGTAGCCTAGTGTGGCCTTGAACTTGCTAAGGACCACCTCTCAATGCTGGGATTATAGGCATGCACCATCATATGCAGTTTATATGGCACTGGAGATCTAACTCTGAGCTTTGGCCACTCCAGGCAAGCAGTCTACCAATCTCAGCACATCCCCAATTCAGCCTAGCCCTTGGAGGGTCTCATCCCTGAGGACTTTTCATATTCCCTCTGGCTTTCCTCTGCTGGGTGAGGGTCCTGACTACTGTGACCAGGTGGGAAGTATCTGTTTTGTTTTGTTTTTCAAGACAGGGTTTCTCTGTGTAGCTTTTGGAGCCTGTTCTGGAACTCGCTCTATAGACCAGGCTGGCCTCGAACTCACAGAGATCTGCCTGCCTCTGCCTCCCAAGTGCTGGGATTAAAGGCTTGTGCCACCACTGCCCGGCCTTTTTTGTTGTTGTTGTTGTTGTTGTTCAGGTGGGGAGTATCTTTAGGGTTGGTTCACTTAACCTCCTCCCTCCAGGAGCCACAAACTGACTGAAGCCATCAAGTATGGGCTCAGGGGCAGGAAAAGGCTGAAGGCCAGTGTGTTGGAGTGTCAGGTGACATACCCTCAGCCTGAAGATTAGAGTCCCAAGAGGGTTACACTGGCTTGAAATCAAGGTGCTGTCCTTATTTGAAATCAAGGTGGGGGTGGTGTCTGGAACAAGGAAGGACCCGGGGAAGGTAAATGGTACCCACATCCCTCTTAACCCCTTGGCCACGTGACGAGCTGGATTTAGAGACAATCAGCAAACGCTTTGGGCCCAAGATAGTGAAAGCATGCTGGGATGAGCTGCTTTCCTGCCCTTGGAACTAGCCCCAGCAGGAGGAACCATAGTTGATGACACTTGAATTCACTGGGGGCTACTTAAGGGCGGCTGAATGCCCGGGGGCCACATTCTTCCTGGAGGAGACCTGGATCGACTACAGTAGTGTCCCCATTAAATGCACGTCCACCCTAAGCCGCTGAATATATGAATATATTTGGAAGAAAGTCTTTGTTGATGTGACTATTCAAGCTGAGGATGTGCTGGATTCAGGTGGCCCTGCAGTCTCTGGTGAACACCCTTGTAAGAATTGCCAGCCAAGCCTGGTGGCGCATGCCTGCAAACCCAGCACTCAGATGGCCACTAATTTACGGCCAGCATAGGCTGTCTAGCAAGACCTTGTCTCGAGGTTTAAAAAAAAGTGAAAGCCTGTATGAAGATGACAGCATTGGTGGTAATGACAGGCTTCAAGACAAGGAACACCAAGCGGCTGGCAGCCCGAGGAGCTCCTCAGCTTTCCAGAAGGAACCAGCCTTGCTGACATCTCAGTTTGGACTCTGGCCTCCAGGAGGACAGAGAATCATTTCCTGTTGGTCTAAACCCACCCAATTTGGGATCAGCGATTAAAGAAGCCAGAGGAAGCTAATACACCACCAGAAAGGCAGAGAGGGTCTCAGGAGGACTGCAGAAGACAGGCATTGGAGCCCCCCAACTCCGCTTAGGTGTAGGAGCATCCAGAGAAGGGAGGTGCCTTGTGCCAACCCCATCAAGGATGATCAGGACAGCAGTGGGTTCAATCAGACTAACTACAGCTACAGCTGGGTTTCTGGGCAAGTGGGTGGCAGCTTCTACAGGAGAGTCCTCCTTACAGTCCTTACCGTGGTTATGGTTGATCTCAGAGCACAAAGGCCCAGAGGCTGGAGAAGCGTGGAAGTGGTTATAAGGGCTGCAAGTATTAGCTCCCATCTTGGACCTGGTGGGCGGGCGCTGCATAGCCTCAGTCCCTTCCCGTTGTCCCCATCCCGGTGCTGCAGAGCATGGTTTATAGCATGCACTGCAGGCAGGATGTCCTCTGGAGAGGCGTACTCCAGAACTCAAAATAGCATGAAATTTAATTTTCCGCCTATTTGACAAGGCTTGGATGGGGCCCCAATCAGCAGCACAGATAAGGGTCCTCGGGTCCAGGGTGTGGGCCAGCTGGGCCTGAGGCAAACACTCCACGGTCCCCGGGCAGGCTGCGTGCAGGTGAGGCGGTCTGCGGGCACTCCCCCCGAGGGACTCCGGTTGCTGGGTGCTAAAGCAAACGGGATCTGTTTGCCCAGTCTGCGATGACAATGCCGTTGCCAAATATTTGCCAGCCCCAGGCAGTTGTGGAGCCCAGCTATAAATGCTTGCACCCCAGGTGGAGGTGGGCCTGCTGAGTGAGCGCTGCAGTCCCAGTCAGGTAGGAGCCTGGGTGTGTGGGCTGGAGTCTTCTGGGGTGGTGAGGAGGGATGAGGGGGGATTTCCTCCCACAGGGAATATGTCTGCACTGAGCTCTCCTTTAGCAATCATCCTCAAAGACTATTGTCAGGACCGCTGGACACCTCCTGGGACAGGGGGATTCCATGTAAGACATGGAAGTGGCCAGCTTCTGCTTCCCAAACTCAGGGTTTCAGGAGAGCAGGGAGGGGGCTGTGCAGTTTGACCCTAAGGGGATCTGACCACGGGGCCACTCATACCTCGGCCTCTCAGAGAGAGATCCTCTTCTGATACACCTAGTTAGATGCTTGCTCCCCTCTGTGAAGGAGCCTGGTGACTCTAGGATCCAGATTCAGCCATTTCAGGGCCACTAGCAGGAAGAGCCACATTACTCTCCCAATCACCTCCTCTTCCTCAGGTTCAGTAGTTGTCCTTGAGCCTTTTTGGACCTGCACAGCAGTCCGTGGGGTCCACTCCTTTAGGGGTCTTTCATCCGTCCCTCCCACCCTTAGCAGGAGGTCGGGGTAGGGGGCACTCAAGTAGTCTCCTATTGTGATCAAGTATCAAAACCCAGGGCTAGCTGGGTGTGGTGGCTCGTGCCTATCATTCCTGCATTCAGGAGGCTAAGGAAAGATTGATGCAGGTTCTCCAAGTTGAGACTCCTTTCTTTCTTTTTCGTTTTCTTTTCTTTTTTCTTTTTTTTTAATTTTTCTAGACAGTGTTTCTCTGTGTAGCCCTGGCTGTCCTGGTGCTTACTCTGTAGACTAGGCTGACCTTGAACCCGGAGATCAGCCTGCCTCTGCCTCCTGAATACTGAGATTAAAGGCATGTGTCATCATGCCCAGATTGAGACCCTTTTTTTTTTCTTTTTGCCATTTTTCAAGATAGGGTTTCTCTGTGCTGCCCTGGCTATCCTGCAACTTGCTCTGTAGACCAGGCTGGCCTCAAACTCATAGAGATCCGCCTGCCTCTGCCTCTTGAGTGTTGGGATTAAAGGCACATACCACCTCTGTCCGGCTAGACCCTTTACTTAAAAAACAAGAAACCCTACCCAGGAATGGTGGCACATGCCCTTAATCCCATAACTCTGGAAGCAGGGACAGGCAGTCCTCTGTGAGTTTGACACCAGTCCAGTTTACATAGCAAGTTCCAGGACAGCCAGGGCTATAAAAGAGAACCTATCTCAAAACAAAAGAAAACCAAACCAAACAAAAGCAAAAAAAACAAAAAAAGCCAAACTAAACCCCAACAATGTAACACCTCAGAAAAGAACCCCAGAGCCATGACTGTAGCTAGGTAAGAACCAGGTTGGGTGGGGATCTTTGGCCACCACAGCCCTTGAAGCTCCCCACAGCATCTGCCAGGGTTCTGGACCTGTCTCCAGGACCAATGCTGGGACAAGGTAGACTCCTTGTCCAGTGCCTGTCCCTGCCTGTCGGGATAGTACTGATCTCTAGGACTTCTGCCTCCTACCCTACTCTGTGGCCTGTGTGAACACAACTGTGGTGGTTATAATGGTTCCTCTGTACCGTGATGGCCGCACCCTATACAAGAGGATCCTGTACACCTCTCTGACTAAGGCAGGTAGGTCCTCTCTGAGCTCAGGAGGCCCAGGGATCAAGGAAGAAAAGAACCGAGGCAGCCTTTTCAGGACCATACATTCAGGCTGTGTCCAGTGGGCACTGCCACCCGTGACTTGCCAACCTACCTTTTCACTTCCCTCCTAGCTTGTGTCTGCTACCCCAGGACCACCGCCCACCAGAATTTTGGAACTCCAACAAGATGGCTGCTGGTGTGATACGGTCTGTCTGTGACTTCCGGTTGCCTCTACCCACACACCAGTCCTTCCTGCCCACAGACCTGGAGGCTCCAGAAACTTCTGAAGAAGAAGAAGAGGAGGAGGAGGAGGAGGAGGAGGAAGAGGAGGAGGAAGAGGAAGAGGGAGACCAGGAGCTGCAAGATGAGGTGCCACAGGACTGTAGACCAGACTCCCAGAGCTCAGGAGTGGCTCCCCAGAGTCCCAGCAGCCCTGAGACCCCAATGCAGCTGCTGCGCTTCTCAGAGCTCATCAGTGGCGACATCCAGCGGTACTTTGGACGCAAGGACACAGGGCAGGACCCAGATGCCCAAGACGTCTATTCTGACAGCCAGCCAGCCAGCTGCTCTGCCCGGGATCTGTACTATGCCGACCTAGTATGCCTGGCCGGGGATGGGCTGCCAGAGGATGAGGAGGCTCCTGAACCCAGTGTGCATTTGCCTGGGGGGCCTGAGGGTCAGGTGCACAGGCTGGGCCCCAGAGGAGACAGGGTGCCACCACTGGGCCCCCTGGCTGAGCTCTTTGACTATGGGCTTCTGCAGTTCTCCAGGCCCAGAGTGTCCGCTTGTCAAAGACTGAGGCTGGAGCGCAAGTATAGCCACATTACCCCCATGACCCAGAGGAAGTTGCCACCATCCTTCTGGAAGGAGCCTGTGCCCAACCCACTAGGCCTCCTGCATCCAGACACACCGGATTTCAGTGATCTTCTAGCCAGCTGGTCTGCTGAGGGTAGCGCTGAGCTGCAGAGTGGAGGTACCCAGGCCCTGGAGGGGACACAACTGACTGAGATCTAATGAGTGGGCGGGTCAGGATTGTGCTGGGGCAGCAGTGGCCCTTTCTCGGGCACCCAGCCTCTCCTTCCTGTAGCCCAGGCACCTCCCTAGTGGGTCTATCCAAGCAACCAAGCAGTTGATGTCCCCCTCAAGAGAAGAGCAGGCCTGAGAGGATCTGAGCTTATCCTGAGCCTAGAACTGCCGCCACCAGCACTCAGTAGGGAGAGCAAACGCTTGTCTAGACCTAGCCACACCTGGCTACTAGTTCTTGGAGGATCCCACTATACACGGCAGGCCTCAAAACTCTGCCCACAGGAAGTGGACAGAACTTAGGCAAGAACTGTGAGTCACTTGCACACATGTCCCTCTGGGGAGACCCATTCTTTACCAAGCCAGCCCCAAGATTCAAGTCAGTGGCAAAGGGCGGCTGGGTTAGGGACCAAACAGGTTAACCCTCCCTGCTGTCTCTCTCTGTAGGGCTGATGATTCTAGTGCCGTCTCCTCAGCCAGGCTGGTGGCGAGGACGCGGAGCTTCATGCAAAGGCCAGGTTTTCTCGAGAGGCCATAAGAGGGACACTACTTGCTCACACAAAGAAACAGATATTGACTCTCCAGATGCATGCTCACAAGTGGCTTCCTTTGTGGCACTTCAGTGTTAATGGCAGCTAGGCAGGGATGAGGCTGATTTGAGAACACAGTCCGTGTCCTCACTCGTGTGGCCTGGGTGCCTCTGCACAAAAATGCCATGAAAAGTGATAAAAGCGCCTTGGGCTAGGCAGGGCAGGAAGGGTCCTCCAGGGTCAAACAACGTGGGCCTTCTGCTTTTGGTCTCTCTCACCACTTGACCCCTTATCAGGCCTATGAGCTGTGGAAAAGCCATTCCATCAGACAACAGGAGACTCTGCCTCCAATAGGTATGAGAACGGGCGTCTTTATTTCTGGGACAGGGTCAGAGACATGACCTTGGGTACAGGCTTCCAGTGAGTCATCGCTGAGATTGCTCCTGGCCTTTGCTGGGCCACCAAGTTCAAGAGGACCGTCTTCCACTGAAGCCACCTGCCCAGAGACACAGCTCATCCACAACACAACTCCTTGTGGCTGGGCTGCTACCCTGAGGAGACCCAGGCGCTCAGCTGCCCACCTCACAGCCTGATACACGCCCCAGGAGTTCACAGAGACCAGCTCGCCCAGGGCTATGTCCTTGATGAAGAACCGCTGCCTCACCAGGGACATGAATACCCGCTTGCTGCCCAGTGTCAGCGGCCAGGGGCCCTCCTCACTCCACAGGCTCAGCATGTTCTCACGCAGGGTTGCAATCTCCTCTGTGCGCTGCAAGTGCAGAGGTACGGTGTTAACAGGACCCATGGGGGGTGGAATGCAGAGAAACGGGGAATGGGTCACAGGGGTGGGCAGAGGATGTGCGTGTATGTGGGGATATCTTCTAGGGAGGAAGTTCGGCAGCAGGGCCTCATGGCTAGGAAACACTGTTCAGTACCACCCTGCCAGTGAACTGCCTGGGGCCCCATGAAGACAGTCACAGAGGGACTTGGGACTGGTAGGCAGAGGGAAAGGGGGTCAGTGGTTCTCCACGAGTTTCCCCTCACCAGCTTGGTCTCGTTATTAAACTTGAGGTTCTGGATGGTCTTGTTGGCCTGGAGGCTGTTCTCTAACTTTATTATTTGCTTCTGAAACTAAACACAGCTCCAATCATGGGTAGACATGGACTGCTGACGTCCAGATGTACCCACTACTACAGAATCACCAAGACCCCGGAGTTTAGGGAAGCAGATATAGGTGACTTCCTGGGGCCCAAGGGATACCGTGGTCAGCTGGCCCTGGATCTCTGCAATCTTACGCCCAGGGTTCTCCTCCTTCAGAAACTGCACAGACATCAGCACGGTGGCTAGCTCCTGTCGCAGAGCCTCAACTTCAAACTCTCTGTGGGCACCAAGGGCTGGTTGTAGGGGGGGGGGGGCCCAGAGCCCAAGGAAGAAGGCTTAGGCCCGAGCTAGGATTCCTGAGGCTGTCATCGGGCTAAACTTGAGAGTGCACGCAGGCTATACCACAGGAGGTGGAGCTCAGGGTGGGACTGGCTGGGGCAGAGCAAGCACAGGTGCAGAGCTTCGGGGCTTGGAAGAGTACTGTGGGGACCAGTGACAATCAGGAGGTCCCATGAGTTTATGTACCTCCCAGGGCCCTGGGAGGCTTTGAATCTCACCTGGCCTTGCCCTCAGCAGAGATCTTCAGGTCCACATCATTCTGGTGAAGAACACACTTGTTGGAGACACTTTCTATCTGAAATGTGGAAGATGTAGGAGCCCAAGGTGACTCAGTATAGTCACCAGGAGCACCAGGCTAGCTCAAGCCCAGCTAAGATCTGGATCTTCCAGGCTGGCTGCACCCTGGCCTTACCCACCTGCTGGGGCAGGCTGTTCACTTTTTCCTGCACCTCCTGCAAGTGAGCTGAGACCTCTTTCAGCCACTGGACCAGACCCTGCAGGGACTTCCTCTCCACACCTTCCCATGCAGCCTGCACCTACAATTTCAACATCCAGTGAGGGATGGTACACAGAGGGGTAGACTAGGCTGACTAAGCCAGGAGGCAGAGTGTCCGGCTCTAAGTATGCTTGAATATAGACCTGCAGGTGCCCAGACAGCCACCGCAGAGACAGAGATGCCAGGCCTATGGCAGCCATGGTGGTCACAGAGACACACCACAGAGTGTGGTCACAGGAGCTACGAAAGAGAACAGCCCCTTGTGTCTATCAACAGAGGGATTAGCGAAGCACAGTCTGTCCACATGTGGGAACATTATCCAGCTGTAAAGGGGTGAGGCGTGGGTCCATATAACAGGGATGACCCATGAAGGCAGCTCAGGAGAGAAACCCAAGCCTAGTGCACACAAACCAGAGCTAGATGGAGGAGAGGAGAGACTGTTAGACTCTGGGGTTTCTATCTTAAGTCATGAGAAAGCTTTGAAGCTGACTTGGCTGATAACTTTTCTATGAATGTATTAAAACCACTGGGTTTTAGTTAGGACTAGGGTTGAGCTCAGACATGTGATCCCAACACTCAGGAGGCTAAGGCAGGGAAATTAGGAGTATCAGGCTAGCCTAGGCTACATGGCAAGATCTTCTCTTAAAACAAAACAAAATAACAATAAAAAAAATGGGCTGAAGAAATGGCTCTGCAGTTAAAAGCACTTGCTGCTCTTCTGGAGGACTGGAGTTTGGTTCCCATGGCTCATAATCATCTGTAACTTCAGCTTCAGGAGATTGATGCCCTCTTCTGGCCCATTTGAGCACTCACACACATGTGATATGTACACACAGACACATAAAAGAACATATATATAAAAGAAACCCAAACAAATAAAATATAAAACCAAACAAAATCCACTGAACTATATCCTTTAAAAGGTGTTTGAGGTTTTTTGTTTGCTTGTTTGTGATTTTTTTTGTTGTTTTGCTTTCTGTTTTCTTGCTTTTTCAAGCAGGGTTTCTGGCTGGCCTGGAACTCACTTTGTAGACCAGGCTGGCCTCGAACTCACAGAGATCTACCTGCCTCTTCCTCCCGAGTGCTGGGATTAAAGGCATGTGCCACCACTGCCTCCTGGGTGAAAGGGGAATTGTTGAAAGAAAGGAAAGAAGGAAGGAGAAAGAGAAAGCAATGGTGCCAAGGGGCTGCGAGCACCACAGGGGCCACCCTGCCTGGTTCAGAGGATCGGGTCTCTACCCTCAGCCCCATCTTCACTGCCCTTCCTTGTGGGTCTGTCCGCCTCACCTGGGACAGCTTCAGGTCTACTGTCCGCTCCTGCAGGTCTAGCTTCCAGCTGAGAGCTAGACAGTGGTCATTCAGGTCCTTCAGCTTCTGGTCCAGCCCGGCCACTGACGCCTCTAGGACCTGGCTCTTCTCTTGGAGCTGCAGGAGACAGTGTGGGGTCAGGGAGGCTCTAGCCAGATGCCTATGTACACAGAGATCCCTGCTGACCACCACCTCACTCAGCCCCTTACCAGTTCCAGGGCACCCTGGGTTTCCTGCTGGGCTAGCTTGCCAGCCATCTGCACAGCCTCCAGATTCTCATGGACGTAGGTGGCCAGCTCTCCGGCCTGGCTCTCCTCCAAGCTCACCTTGGCCTCCCTGTATATTGATGCTCAAACTGTCCCTTAGCACTAGCCAGTGAGGGGACCTGGTTGCTAGCTCTGGGACCTTCCAGGTGATTCCATGGACCAGAGGATGGGTGCTACCAAGAAAGAGCTGTGAGCGGGGGGTCAGGGTGAAGGAACAGGAGCTCTGGCAGAGGGCTGCTAGTCTGTCATAGCATGTCCAACTGGCCTAGCGCTTAACTTGCAGTTGCAGGGGTTGAGGCAGGGCATTCCCCAGCTGAGCTCAGCCAGTGATTAGCTGAGCAAGGGACTGGGTGGCCCATTGTCCTGACATGACACCCACCGAGCCTTCTGTTCAGCCAGCAGGACACGATTCAGTGACACCTGGTTCTGTCGCACAAACTTAGTCAGATAGACCACGGCTTTGTCCAGGCCCCAGCACTGCTCCAGCAGGTGACCTTCCTCCTCCTGCTGTGGCAGAAGTGGCCCTGAGCCTTGGTGACTACCCTACATCTCCCAGCCAACCTGGCCAGCAGGCCCACCTCACGCTGTGTCCGCAGGGCCCGCAAGCGCTCCTCTGTCAGTTCATGCAGCTTCTGCCAGCGGCTTTCCAGTTCCTCTCGAAGGCTGCTTTCTGCCATCAGCCGTGTGCTCTCTGAAGATTTCATTCTCTGCGGAGACAGCACTGGCTGCTGTGAATTTGTGACCCCACCAGTGGGCAATCCATGAGGACACTGGGCCCCGCCCTGGCCCTCACCTGCTCCATGGCCATGAAACATTTCTGAAGAAAACTGCACAGTTTGGTCTCCCTCTTTAGGAAGCGGATGCTCAGATCCTCACTGAATTTAGTCACCTGGTCCTAGGAGGGGTCACACAGCCACCTGAAGCCTCCCCACTGGACATCATCCCTCCCTGCCTGGGG